AGGAAACAGAAGTGTGCGATGAAAGCGCACAGGCAAACTCTTGGTGCCTACAAATCAGCTGAACTCCAAGTTGCCATGACTAGTATTTTTATCTGGCTTTTAGCACTGGTCTCCTATGCCCCCTTTTTTGCAGGAGTCATACTAGATGCAACCATGCAGTTGTGCCCCACCGAGGCGTACCCGAGCGTCTTTGTATTCCGAAACTGTACGGCTATGATGATAACCATGAACAGCTTGGGGAACCCCATCATCTACACACTGAAAGTCAAAAACCTGGGGCATAAGCTCAGATTGCTGAAGTGCCCGTCCAGCAACCGCATCCAAGTGCAGGCTATTGGGAATAGGTAATCTTCCCTGAAATTGCATAAGGAGGACTAGAACTGCATGGCTCGAATCAGACAGCACACCCGGTATTCATAGATTCATAGATTAAGGGTCGGAAGTGACCTAGTAGATCTTCTAGCCCGACCCCCCGCCAGGGCAGGAAAACAACAAAAAACCCCCAAAAGAGAAAGGTATATTCATGTCGGTAACTTTAACACGGTACAGATCTACTTTTCCAAGCTAGTTTCTTTTCTATAGACTCTGGCTGCCTCCTGTGAAGCTGAACTCAAATTTGGCCGTGTCGTAGATTGGCTTACAACTGGGGATCCACTTCAGAACTGGAGTGACGGGACAGCTCCCTGGTAAGGTTTGGGACAAAGCAGGACAGAGGTTTGGGGCAATTCTCCCGTTGGAATAAACCACACTGGATCGGGAATCTAAGTGTCTTGCCTGGCATTGTATCTGTGAAGAAATTCATAACTGAACACTTAGGGGAGCAAAAAGGGGAAAAAAAAAAAAAAAAAAAAAAAAAAAAAAAAAAAAAAGCAAAAAAAAATCGTGTTTCTGAGTTGATACTGACCGTGACCAATTATTAGACTGTATTTAGAAATGCGATCTATCAAATGGTTTCTTAGGTTGCTTCTCTGGGAGCATTTCCGCATCTTTTCTTTGTCTCATTATGATAAAAGTAGCAATATTGGCGTTTCAAAAGGACAAAGCAAAATGAGTGGCTTTTACAGTGTGTGAACTGGAATTGAATTTCCAGTTAATCCTTGAATCCTAAACACAATGGATAGGAGCAGCTGTAGTGTGTTTGCTGACATTTCTCAGTTGTGTGCCTGATTTGTCTATCTCTTTATTAGACACCCAAAGTTTATTTTGCATTAAGAGATCAAAATCAACCCATTGTGAATGTTTGTTTTGCAGTTGGAAATGTGCCTGACCTGCGCTGGAACGGCTACCAAAACGTTGTTCGTTCTTTGTACTGCTTTATCAGCCTAAACGCCCTTGGGAGCCCTTTGGTTGATTTGCAAGCACATTTTCAGAAAATGGGAAACAAATTAAAGTTTCAATTCTTTATTTAAAACCAGTAAAAAAATGCATTTGTAAGTCTGTTCTTGTACATTTTTAATATAACACTTAACGTTTTTGACTGTAGCACTTTCGATTGCCAAATGAGTCTTTTTGGGAAACATTGACAACCATGTATTTTTAATAAATTTTTCTGGCTTTTACTTCTCATACCTCACCCCCTGTGACTTGAATGTTTGAACAGTAGCTTCAGTTAAAAAAAAAAAAAAAAACACGCTTCAAGCTTGCCACCTCAAAACTTCATTGGAAAGTGTGTATAATATATATTTTTCTCTAAAAGGTAAATATTTTATCATTAGTATTAAAATTCTACTTTACAAAATGAGTGTTTTCCTCTAGATCACTTGCTTGAATAGTTCATATTTTGTTACTTCAGTAGTAGATGGCAGGATGAAAAGCAAAATTTCCACATTGCTTAGTGTTATCCAAAATCAATTGTAGGGTACTATTAGAAAGGTTGTGTAATTGAGATTAGTTGTCTCTAAACCAGGGGCAGGCAATTATTTCGGGTGGAGGGCCACTTACTGA